ATCAAGATCATAATTCTCATTCATTTCTCACTGTTCATACTTTTGCCTGTAGACAAAATAATAAAAGGAAGAAGACCCAAACCAGAAACAATGCTCTTGGTAACATCTATTCCATCATTCTTCTGGCTAACATTTCACAAATGCCTACGACGGGTCAGAACCTGCATTAGACAAGGAAAAGGATGTGCACTGACACAGGCCTCCCCCTCCCAGCCCCATTCAGGGAAGCAATGTTCTCTGTGGCTTAGGGGACAGTCCCATCCCACTCTTTCTGCCACCATGTTGAAAAATGTGCATTTAAATGCAATAACATTTGGGGGATGATCTAGCCTATAAATAGCACCAGAAGAAAACACTAAACAGGCTCTTTTTTTTTTTAAGTGCCAGTTTCTTTTTATTTCTTTATTTATTTTGAGGGGGTAATTAGGCTTATTAGTTATTTTTTTCACGGAGGTCCTGGGGATTGAACCAGTCATGCTAAGCACGTGCTCTACCACTGAGCTATACCCTCCCCCATCAACATGCACTCTTCAGCATAAATGAATGTATGCTGTGTAATGTTTAATATATATTTGTTATAATAATTATCTGAATTTCTTGGGAACTTTGCTCTTGACGGGGGGACCCAAGCTTGGGGAAGCTTATTTTTGAGGCTGGAAATGCAAAGGAAGCGTGCTGCAGAAAACAATTGGTGTAGTCTAGCTGGCACCAGGTTGCAGCTGCACTCGCCTGCCTGCCGTGCCTGATATGGCTGCTGTCAATGAAGGCAATTGTATGCAGAGCACTGCTGGGCTGTCAGCTGCGGCTCCCGAAGGGCTGGTTGCAGTATTTTGGTGATGTCTGAAGATGCAGGCAGATGTTGGGAGAACAAAGCAACCACACTGAGCAAGGCGCCAGAACCACGGCACAAGGTAAGTATATTTAAAATAAATGATAGAAATAAAGAGATTTTCAAAATGGTAAAGCCGTTCTTGGTGGGGAGCATTGGGATTTCTGAAGCTTTTTAATGTTTTCTTAATTCTCCCTGTCAATCTACTTAGTAGCTCCAATCTCCTCCCTCCCCCCTCTCTCCTTCTCTCTCTCTCTCTCTCCTTCCACTCCTCTCTCTCTCTCAGAGACACACACATACACCCTGAAGAACATCGAAATAAATAATTGTTGATATGTCATATGTCTGTAGCGTACAGTTTTCTCCTTGGAATGCCAGTCTCTTTTTCTAGTAACATGGCCTGGAATAAGCCACAACCTCTCAGAATATTTCCTCTATTTTTAGACTCTTTAAAGGGAAAATGCCGTTATGAACTGCTAAAGTTTGCATTATGTATAGCAGATCAGGCAAACGCCAGAAGACAAAGTACAATAAAGACAGATGACTTCAAAGACCACCATTCAACTTAACTTCATCCTACCTGGAGAAAATGTAGAAGGCTGAAAATTAAAAAAAGAACTTCTACATACAAATTAAACTTTTGCTTCTGCCTTGGGCTTTACAATCTACTGATTACGGAATACCTTTTGTCCCATGGAGTCTGTGCACAGGACTCTAAATTAGGAGTCTTTTTTGTGTCATATCTCAGTGAGTGGGGACCCCTCAAGATATATTTGCTCCAGAACCAGCTTTTTTTAGTTTCACAGATTCTTCTCTGTATCTAGAATTCTTTTCTATGTTTTTTTCTAGTCATTTAAATCAATATCTTTTTAAGTAGGCAGAAAGAGAGAGGGTAAGAAATCTCTTATTAATAACTAAGAAGCATGATCCAATATATTATTCTTTCGTATTTAAGAAAAAATATCTTAATAGTTATAATTTTTCTGTTTTAAAGTAACAGGAAAGGAAACTTAGACATGTAGATGTGGAACAAAGAATTGCTCATTTGAATGATGCATTACTGACTTTGATTAGCTTTCCTTTTCAGAGAGAGGATGAGTTACATCATCTGATTTTCAGAAGGTGGCAACTGACCCTTACTTTTAAAAATACTGAAGGACTCTTGCATCCCTGTGTTGTGATACTCCACTGAAGTCCTCATTCCCCAAGAGAGGAGGCCATAGCGTTACATCTCAATAGGCTGTCTACTGTTTACGCACATATGAAACAGTTGATAAATGTCTACTGAAGAATGAATGAAGCACTGCACGTAAAGGGTGGGTTTGAATAAGATAGTAAAGAAATACACTTTGACAGGAAGTCTGCAAAGTGTGGATAATGGCTGTTGAAACTGGAGTTGCCTGTTCCCAGGGAACAAACATCCAAGTTTGCATTAAGGAGTTGGATATTTTACACTTAGCAGTGTAGTTGCAAATCAAATAACTCTGGAAAAGATTTATTTAATCATGATAGTCTCCCCCTATTTGCTTTATTTCATTTGTTTATTTACACCCTGCTTTGTTCCACAGTAAATTTCAGTATGGGAATTTATAAACCCAGGGATAAGATTTATGCATAGAAATGCACACCTTAAGTGCTGCAAGACTGTTAAAAGCGGATTCACATTTCAGCAGATCATACTGTGAGCCTCACTGAATGAAAGAAGTTATTTTACCACTAAATTATAGTCCATTTACATATGATTCCCCACCTGTAGTGGTTACTTTTATGACCAGCTATTCATAAAATTTGCTGTTAATTATTCTTGTATGATATGGCATGATAGAAACAGCTGAAAACATAAATACACACAATGGTGTTTACATTTCTCAGATTATAATGTCATTAAGACCTCTAGATGCTGCCTTCTCATAAATTAATATTAAGTCCCCTAGTTAATTCCCCACTATGCTGACCAAGCTACTGTTGGACAGGATATGTGGAAATGGGACCTCTTATCCCTTACTGCTGGGAATGTGAATTGGCACAAGCACAATGGAGATCAACTTGGTGATACCAAGATAAAGACCTCCCTATCCCATTAGCCAGCATTTTTACTCCTGGATATATACCTTCAAAAGGACTTACACCTGTGCATACGAACCATTGTCTTCCACAATGGAAACACTAAATGTCCACTAAAATGGCAATGGGCAAAAATTGTATTCAGTATACTCATAAAATGTAATCACATGCAGTGGCTGAAAACAATGTAATTTTATACATATTATCAATTTTAAAAAACCACAATATTAAATGCATAAAACATGTTTTAGAATTATGCCTAAAATAACATTTATATAAATCAAGAAAAACAACTAATTCTCTCATATTCCATATATATGTATATTTAGTTATATATGTCCATATGTATATATTTATGCATGTATGCATATAATTTCTAGGGACACATTTTTTTACCTTTGTTTTTGTTTTTGTTTTGGTGGGGGGAGGTAATTAGGTTTGTTTATTTATTTATTTATTTATTTTTAATGCAGGTGCTGGGGATTGAACCCAGGACCTCGTGCATACTAAGCACGTGCTCTGCCACTGAGCTATGCCCTTCCCCTCCAGGGACACATATTTTCATAGTAAAACCAGAGGCAGAATAACCATTAAGCTAATGAAATATTCCTAAAGCCAGTACTCCTAGTCCTGGTCCTTGGTCCTGTCCCAGATCTGTAGGCTTACATCTTAATCCATTCTGCATTCTCTCCCCAAAGGATGTCATCCAGAGCACATTGCTGACTTTGTTCTGTTTTGGCTTATAACAGATGGCATTTCTTTTCTCTCACTATCTAGGTTTAAATAAATTGACAGTCTCTCCCTTTGTGCTGAGTGAGACAATTTTAGTGAGCCCTTTCAGCCATGAAAATTTAAGTCTAATATCTAACAGCTAAAGAATTAAATGATAGGGAAGTTCTGAACAATGATGTAATATTGAATGGACAAATCTTCTGAAATAGCTGTGATACATCCTGTGAAAAGGCCATGGGCAGGGCGTGATTGCACCAGATTATAATGCAATGTGTTTCCATTTCCTTTTGGCTGAAACTGAAGATAGGGGATATAGAGGTTCTTCTTTCAAGGTGGAAGGAGGGGAGAACAAGGACAAGCAAGGCAGGGCATCCTAAGAAGATGAGCACACCCAAGCAGCAGAGCAGCAGGGCGCAAGATCAGGAGAGAGGAGCTAGTGGGGAGTTTTGCTGGGAAGGGGCAGACCACTGATTCGAGGTTTTCTGATACTCACTTTCACATCTCATCTTTTGTACTGCAATCCCCACCGTTATCCTCAAGTCTTGGGTTATGTCTGCTGGACAGGCCTACCTGTACTGTTTAATTTCATGGAATTCAGGGAGCAGACTGAAACACTGATGACAAAATAAATCTGATGCTGCTTGAAAAAGCCAAGGGCTTCATAGCACAGATACAAGAGGAAAGTGTGACCATTTCTAGGATTGATAGTGGTCCTGGTGCTTCTCCAGAGGTGGCAAGTGTTAAGAGGAATGGAGTGAGGGCACCTGGAAGGCAGGACCGGAGGTGAGGCTAGCTTGTGGAGGGTGGCAGTCCTTGGTAATAGGCCACTTGAAAAGTACCAGAGGTCCCTTAAGGAAGGTTTGTGAGCTTCTCCTTCATGCTTAATTCATTTAGATGTTTATATTTTGTTTCATAATTGGTGCTCTGTTGAAAAATCAAAATTAACTGGTCCATTAGGACCATAACTTAAAATACCATGGTTGATAGTGCTAATAACAACTTAGGTTCTTTGGATCAAAGGTTTTCCAAATGCCCATGACCAACATTAAGAAGTTTATGAAACACAGAATTTAGATATAAACTACTAATATATTTAAACACCTTTTCTGCAAAATGGTAACAAATAATGGCCCTTTTCAACCTTGAACGTTTCAAAACAACAACAAAAAGAAACATCTCTTTGCCAAATCAGAAGAACCCAAATTTTTGGCTCTCTACAACCTGTGAGTTGGCTTTATAATTTTTCATCATTATCCATGCCTCTTCAGGCCACTTAACTATTTTTGAAAGTAGACAGTGTTGCTGATAATCCAGTATATCCTTCAGGTTCAACTTTTGCAAATCATGCCACCCAGGGCAACTGACTTTGTGAGCAAAATCTCCACGGTCACTTGGTTAGCTGCATTTAGAAATATGAGCTGCCTAGTCAAGGTTACAGTGGTTTTGTTTTGTTTTTTTTCCTCCTCAGTACACAATACAGTTAATTGTTACCTGTATATTTTGTTTAAATTTGGGAGGTTATTGGAGGTTTGTATTTTCAAATGCTTCTGACTCATTAAATTCAACTAAAAATGAAAATAAAGATGTATTTGTTTGTAAATAGTGGGGAATACATCCTCTTCTTGTTTGTTATGGGGAGAGAGAGTAGGGAGAAATCTTGAGAAAAAATAAGAATATGGATGTTCAAACATTTTCAAAATATAGAAAAACTTATTTAGAACTATCAGAAACTTACATGTGATAGAATGTTTTGTCACAGACTCTGGTACAAGAGGGATCGAGAAATTAGAAAAAAATAATGGAGTATTTCTGATACAGTCATGAATGAAAAAATATATATTCCAAGTGATAATTTTTTAAACTTAAGTGGAAGTAAGAGCCATAAAAATGAGTGTTGTATATTTTTCTTCCTGGTTGTTATTATTTTGAAATTCTTTCAGCCACCAAGTGGCATTAGGGTTTCTGAGTAATGTTTACTTTTGATGATAGCTTCGTCTCCCCCTGTTGTTCAAAATGATGAAATACAGCCCTCTGGAAACAGCAAAGCACTCCCTTCCTTTGGTATTTGTAAGCGGAACAGAAGTAGACAGACACCTTCTGAAGTTTCCTGCATGCTGTATTTTCTCCCCTTGCTGCAGGAAGAAAACCTTCTTCTTTTAACCCGACTGCCTTTGAAGAAGGGACTCAGACATCTTCATGGCCTCTAAAGGTAAGAGTGAATATAGGCAGCTAAACAAATTTTGCTTTCATTATGGCTAAAAATACACAGTTGTAAGGATGTTCTAATCAGTGAGACTGATACTTTAGAACCTGTCATTTAGTGCTTTTGAACACTGGAATTTTTGAATTTTAACTCCAAGGAGCATGTTGTGTTAAATTTTAAAGAAAAACACTCTAGCTGATAGAATGTAAAAGTGAAGACGTGAAACAGTGAAGAAACGAAACAATGTTTTCGTTACCATAAATATACACCTAGTGACTTAATAAGAAAAGCAGCATAGCAAAATTGAGAGTAGAAATATTCAATCTCAAACACAAAGACAAGTTGATATTTCAAGTTTAAAGGCATTTGAAGAAAACTTTTCACACGTAAGTTAAAATGTGTTAAAGTATAGCTCAGTATTTTTAAATTTCCCATTTGTTGTTTAAAATATGTGATACAGCCATTTATCATAGAGAATTCAACATGTGTTATGGAGAAATTCTAGTAAATGTAACGGACTAGAAGTAAACACATCTGAACTATGAAGCAAAAAATCTTTCAAAATTTCTTTGATGGTAAATTATATATAAAAAGCAAACAGAAACTAATCTAAGCGAGCAGATTAATTAAAGACTTTGGGAGGAGGAACTGGTATAGGTTTTCCTCAAATGCCTAAAACTATGTAAATATCATCAGTGTTACTTTAAAGAACTTCTCAAAAGACTAGGGATGTGCTTGTTTTAAGATAATGGGTTGCAATCTCACTAAAAACACTTGTGAAATTATATAAAAATGAAATTATAATGTGTTTTCATTCCATTATCAGAAGAAACCATTAAACTCTAGGCTATAATGAAAAGTTTTAATGTGGAGAATTATGATTAGTATAATTGGTGGAAACCTTTTAACCTAATTGCAAATAGGATAATAGAGTCCACTGATTTAAAACATCCTGAATTAACTTAATGATGCATTCAAAGAAATTTGTATACTTACTTGTTTCCTTTATCAAAATCTGTTTTTTGGATGCTATTCAATTTGGAACAAAGGAAGCAATCTTTTCATTTTTTGTCAACATTTAATGTACCCCAGTCCCTGAGTATCATTGGGAAAGTGCAAACAAATTATAAAATATAGACATGAAACATGAAAATCATGAATTTTAATATATACGTGCTTCATTTCTCTGTCTGAAGACAGACAAACAAAATCTTGACAAGTCCTTTCTTTCATTTAAGACTGACACTAAGACTCAGTCCAAAACACTTCATCACTTTCTAAGAGTCACAGCAACAACTGTGGCCTGTAAGGTAAAGAGTTGCAGAGTACGTGAAATATTTATAAGCTAGTTATACATTTTTAAAAGAGTAGATAGAAATTCAAAGCCAGATAGAAATTCAAAGGAGTTCCTTCTTCATCTGGTGGTCTGAGTCTTTGAAGAAACTTGTGACTAGAAAGCAATATTATGATCAAAATACGATTAATCTTCCAAAAAAGCCACGATGCTCAGTAACCACAAGGACTCAAGACAAAACTTAGAGGTAAAACTTCAGGTGGAAAACTAACACTCTTTCTGCAATCCACTCAAAATACTTAACAGATGAAGTGGGTAAAACATTTGTTAGAGACCCTTTTCTAAAAAAAAAAAAGTAAAAAAATGAGGTTTTCTTTGGAATTAGAAATCCGGTTTGAGGGGCAAGTCAGGATATTATCATTATTTCCCGAAAATATTTTTGTGGAGTTTTATTCAAATATATTTAAAGATATTATTTATAACATCATGATGCTCTCTGACCCATGAGTCTGCACTGGCATTTAGCGTTTTCCCAGGGAATGCAGGCTAACTGAACATTTTACATTTCGTAGGCAGTTCAGTAAGCATCACTACATCAGCTTGGAGACTGGAGGCCATTAGAACTGAAGTATTTGTGTGGTCTGGAAGTCCCCTGGTTTAGTATAAATAAACATAAATTGAAGAATGGGTTGGTCTCAAACTTTAAGTTTGAGAAAAACAAGAGTTTCCAGGATGATCTAAACTGAACAGGAGCTTCAGTTTGGATCTTCAAAGGCAGTGCTGCTCTGATGTGAGCTGAAACCCCAGAAGAGAAATGATCTCAGCAGTCTCTGACTGAGCCTCTGCTCCCCACTAGACACTGGACATTTTCTGCTCTGGGCCCTGGTGCATTAATGCTTCTGGACCTGCTGTGAAATCTAACAACCTAAAAGCCTGGGTCAGGAATATAGAGCCACCCTCCAGACACTCAATAACCTACCGAATGCATTTTGTCACAGCAAAATAGTTTACAAGATTAAACTGGAGTAGTTTTCTAATCTTATTAACAATACAATTGACAATGAGAGAGAATCTAATGATCTTCTATCAGCTATTATCAGAAATTAATCCCTACCCGTTATTTTTTAATCAAAGGATCACATGTGGACAGTTAAGTGCATAAAAGGCACCAAACTTAAGTTCTATGATTCTTAAAATCAGGATGCACTCAGGTAACCACCATCAAGATCAAGATACAGAACATTTCTGGTACCTCACATTGTTCCCTTTTTGATCAATAGCCATGCACCTCCACTCCCAAGATGAACGCCTACCATTTCATCATTATGAACTAATTTTCCTTAGATCACAATTTGCCTTTGTTTCTCTGAAAGTCAACGACAGCAGTGGTTTTGGCACTAATGCCAAAGAAAGGACGTCTGTTGTCTCGTATTATTTTCCAGTTATTGCCATAGTGGGCATTAGCTCCTCTCCTAAATCTGACATGGTGATATATAGTCTTCCTCTCAGTTTACCACTTGGGGTCTCATTCTCAAGAGCAAGAGGAGTTCTAAAGCCTATACCCTTTATGTCTGCCTAGATCTGAGAGAAGCTCAGGATAGGGGGCCTTTGGGGAAGCAAACTGTTGTATTATCATCGGTATGGAGCTCTGTGTTAGTGGGGCCAAATGACAAGTTTGTTTCCATGTGGTCCTACCCCTAAAGCATGTCCAAATTCTAAACATCTCAGACCAGTGTCATCTTGGGGATCCATCTCCGTCTATCCCTACATCCTTCTGGTTAAATAAGCAAACAGATCATCTGGCAGTTAGTGTCCCTCATTAACACCACACGTACACACGACCCTACTGAGCCTATCATTGCTAGAAGTAGTCTATGTCAGTGTCTAAAGGCCCACCCCTTGGATGCCTATGCTTCTTCACCAGTTTTTTTTTTTAAGTCCTCTTCAGGTGCTCATCCAGGCTATCCTTGAATTCTCTTAATGAAGGGAAACTTATAATTTCCAAAAGAAATTCAGTCCTTTCTTCAAATTTAATTTTAGAGGTTTAAAAGATTCATAAGAATACCACCCACCCCCACCACCCACCCCTACCCACCCCCGACACAAACACATTGTGTGGACTTGGTGACAGTGCTGAAGAGAGACCATTCTAATCTATTGTAAATTATATAGATGTCACTCCAGTTTTAATATACATACAGTGAGTCCCTATCCAAATTTTTGTGCAGTTGTTATAAATTTCTTCCTTATGTTAATCCAGAACCAGTTTCCTTGTCCCTCCCATTTTTATGTCTTTAAAATAGTCAGGTTACCTGTCTTCATTACAGTCCCTCTACTATTTGAAAACACCTATCAGGAACCTTGCTCCACACCTACACTCAATCTAAAACAGCAAAGTGTAAACCAAATGAATGCACATATACGAACTCTTATAATTTGGCTTAATAAAGATGAGAAGTGAAAACAGTGATAGTCTTTTAAAAATATACATATCGGTATCTAATGAGGGAGATAGCCAAATAGCAGTCATGTGAAAAAAGAAAAAGGAAAAATAATAGTAGAAAAGCCGTAATTTTTAACATTTTTTTATATATTTTTAACAAAGAAGACTTTCGCATGCACCACACATCAGAGCTTATGCATAATAATAAAGTTGTAACGTTGAATGAGCTACAGAGGAGTTCATACTGTCAAAATTTTGAGGGTGCTTCTATACCAAATACTGAGAAATCAAAGTTAAATTAGATATTACACTGCTCTTAAAAAACTAATAAATTAGTTATAAGAATCTTATAGTATATATAGAATTAAACCATTAGTTCTCAAAGGATATATCGTCAGACCAGCAGCATTAGTTTACCTGGGAACTTATTAGAAATGCAAATTCTCTAGCCCCACCCCCACCTCAGCCACTGAGCCAGCCCGTCAGGAGTGGGCCCAGCCTGTGTGTTTTAACAAGCCGTCTAGGTGGTTCTGGTGCAGGCTAAAGTTAAGAACCACTGAATTAAACCTAGCCTTAGCAGCATGATTGATAAAAAGAGAGAAAATCTCCTTGGAAATATAAGGCACCTTCATAATACTTGAGGAAGGGAGGAAAAGCTTGAAAGTCATACTTATGATTCAGAACCGATTTCTAAGGCTCTCCTTTTATGAGTGGAGAATGTCTAGTTTCTTTTATCATCACTTTTCCTTTTGTGGTTTATAATCTTCCAGCTCTTTGAATAGAAGTTTAACTTGCCTTCAAAAAAATGTATCTTTTTAAAATCATGTATTTTGCCCAAGTTACCCAACTTTTTCTCACAACTACTTATGGTAGTCTTCCAGATTCCTCTTGCTCTGAAGGAAAGGGCACTAAAGGGAAAGGCAGCAGCAGACATCCTACCCTCGGAATGAAGAAGTAACAAAGATTATAAGGCAAACTAAATAAAATGGCCTAACTTTAAATATGGGCTGGGATTTTCATTCTCTTGCAGATGCACAGAACCAGAGAAGAGGTCTGCCCAGTTTTCTTCCCGGAGCTCCAGACCCAGACCATGGCGTTCACATCCCGTCCAATTCAGGGAACTTAGTGTGGCAGCCGGGTCTCCCTCCACCAGGCAGTCTCCCTCCTGGTCTGGAATATTTAAGCCAGGTGATTTTCTCTGTTTCTATGAACTGTTTCCCCTTAAAATGAATACAAGCGTGGTTTCTTGCCTTTCGATCAAGATTGAAGAACTTCAACAAATAAGTTACCAAAGTCAGAAAAGCATTATAAATCATGAAATTCTAAAATGTGTATTTTATTTATTTCCATTGATTGAGAAGAAGCTTATGTGTTCCTATATGACCATTTCTATTTTCCTTATTTATTTGACAGAGTGAGGAGACTAAACCTTTTTGATTGAGCTGTTTAGCACGTGCATCCCTCTTCTGCTCATTGCTCAAGGTGTCAGCAAATTTATCCTGGAGGAATTGTCTAATATGTCTAGTCACCTACAGCTATTAAAGAATATTTGTGCACCTGCTATAATCAAGGTATATAAATGGCATAAAACCTAGTCCTTCTCACCCAAACATTCTGCAACCTCACAGGCAAAGACAAAAAATGTTGACAAAAAGTGCGAGGCTGGGTATGAGAGCCAGATGAGCACACAGTTTTAATTTGTGCAGGTGTACAGAGCAGAGCAAGGTTGTTAAGGATCAAAGTACTCAGGAGAGACTTCTGCAATGAGCAGAGTTTATCATCGTCAGCTGAATCTCAAAATGTGGTTGGAAATCCAAGAGAAAGCCAGTTATCAAGTTAGCATTATTGTCTCCTTATACTGTTGCATCTCCAGGCCAATTTGCTCAAAAGATAGTTATTATTATTAGATCCAGTCACTGTTCTGTTCCTTAGAGGGTAAGCGATGATTCAAGCCTTATAATAAATAATCAAGAAATACCATCATCTGAATTCTAGGGCACATAAAAAGCAACCGATAGTTACGTATATTCTTGTTGCTTTTGTATTTATCCTACAAAAGATTAGAAACACACTTACACTAATATTGAGATGTCAGCACATCTGCTGCAATTTTCAGCTTGTTTGGCATTCTTTCAAACTATAAAGTCTATCTCCTTTATCAAAATCAAATCTCTGTGTTAATTCCCTGAAGGTACAAGAGATTTTGGTTATGCCTGATAGGGTTTAAGCTGCATGCAGCATATGTTCCTGGGAAAATGTTTATAATTGCAGATGCCGTCTCCAGAAACCCACTGGCAGACAAATGTACTTTAGAGACTGGAGAGCTCAGGGAGATATGTAAAAGAGCTGGAAAAGCTAACCTACCATCTTCCATCTGCAGAAAGGATCAGCTGTAATAGCTGACTAGAGTTGATTAACTGCTGCAAGCTGTTTGGGAATGTTGTCAGACAAGGTTTTGCCAAGTATAAAAGTGATATACCAGTGCCAGAGGGCTGAGGTTTGATAACCACATATGGTCATCACATATTCTTCTTCCATCCATGAATGATGACACACCCGGAGCCAGATGCTTGACACGAATACGTGTTTTTCACATTCGGTAGATAGAGATATGAACCTATTGGCTTCTGTTCTAAAATGAAGTCAATTTTCCAAAAATATACCTTTGGTAATCTTTTTTTTTCAGGAAACAAAAATATGCCACAAAATTGGTGACTATTTTACTTCAAAGGGAGACAATTTACAATCTTTATACTAACAGAACACTTACTTGCTTTAAAGTGGTGCATACAGAACAGGGTGAATGAGCCTTTTGAAGTTTAATTCTACTTGTTTGTAAGAAACATATATAAAGAATTCGGTGTGCTAACTTTTGTCTAAAACCCCACAAGATTAAATAAAATTACGAGCATTTGAAAATAGTATATGCTTCAATATACAAACACAAAATTATTCAATAAGTATCCTTCTAAATTAAAAAAATCAGTGTAAAATTTTTTTGAATTATTCTCTTTTAATCAAGACTATCCAATGACTATTGAAAATTGTGTTTCCATTAACAATTTGAAAATAAACCCCTAGGTGAGGGGAGGGAGGTGTTTGTGTATACATATATACACATACACATATGTATATGTGTATACATATATGTTGTTCATGTAGGTTAAGCCTAAGAATAAAACCAATACATTCTCTTTCCAGATTGGATTAACATGTTCGTAACAGTCAATAACATTTTATCTTATAAGCATCAAAGGATAACGATTATAACTTAGTCACCTATAGGGGAGAGTTTTGAGTTAAAATCTACAAAGACACATGTAAAGACCTCATTTATTTTTAAGTACTTATATTAAGTGGAATCACTGACACTTGTAAACCTGATAAATTATATATAAGAATTGATTCTTAGCTACATATTCAAGGCTGTCATTAGGTGTCCATTCTACAGCTTTCGTACTTCAGGAGGGCTTCACTTGCCCTAACGCTCAAATACATGATGCAGTCTATTTAAAGTTTCCAACAATTCCTAGTTTATCAATTAATAGCAAAAGATGAAAAGGGCTCTTTTGGACCATGGTTTAGAAGTGACCCGGGGGACTCAAAGGAAATTACAAAAATAACCAAAAAGAAGACCCTCAAATCCAGGAGGTTTTCCCACACAGAGACAGCAAATCAAATGTTATTACAGAGGATGGGTGAGTATGAGAGTAAATAGGGAGGAAAGGTACTCAAAGTCCCATAGCATCACTTAAGAATTGTTTCTCCCAGATCCTAAGGTTACTTTAGTGATGCTGGTACAGCAGAGCAGAAAGCATGTCAAAGTCGGTGGCATCCCTGCCTAGGTCAAATCCCAGCCTAACCATTTACAAGCTCTGTGATCTTAAACAAACTTCTTTATCTCTCTGGGATTGTCTCCTCACACACTAAATGTAATGATACCTAACTCTCTGAGTGTGTGTGAGAATTAAATCAGACACCGTCAAAATACCTAGCACAGTGACTACCTCAGTAAACAGCCTCTATTGTTAAATATTAGAAAGGTACAATTTCTCTTTTCAACTAATAGTCTCTAAATTTCAAGATGGAAGCTTGATCCATGATACAAATATTCAAAGTTCCTCAACTGAAACGTGAGTTTCACCCCCGTATTTCTTCTCCATCCCTAAGTTACTCCCACATGGATCCACGGCTAAAAGTCGTGGAAGTCCTTATTGAAGCTTACTAATCCTCTTTTCTCTTGACTCTCCGTTTTCCTCAAAAGAGGAGAACAGAGCTAACAACACTACACTACAAAAGACCAATTCTAAATTTTTTTAAAAAGCCTTTGTCATGGTTGTTAAAATATGTTTTAGAATATCTTAAATCATAAATTACTTTTGAAAAAAATTTTTTTTGTGAATCTTAAAAAGGAGGCCACACGCACAGTTTTATCAATAATGACTTATATAGAAGAAATGATACCATGAAGAAATAATATAAATGAGGGAAATAAGGTAACTTTATATTTTCAGGGTTTGTAATGCTTAACCAATACCAAATATTGGTAATGACTACTTCCCTTTACCAGTTACCAGTGAGTTTATTATTTGTGAAGGGAAAATAAAGTGAAGACAATTTTAAGGCAAAACAGAAAATGAAGCATTAAAAAAGACAATAATCAGCACTGTGTTCAGTGTTCATGATTTCATCTTAGTGAATCTTTAAGAACTAAATATCAAAACTGAAATCTACACAAACAAAATTCATTCTAAGAACATATTTTAAATAGTCCCTTTAAAAGACAATTTGTATTCTATACTTTTTTAATATAGTCATTTCTCAACTGTCTGTGGATACTTTATCTCTGTAAATTGATTTTATTTCTGATTACACAGGTAAATTTTAATACGTCATGCATTTAGTGGCTTAACTCTTATTCTGCTTAAACTGGTATTTTGTTGGCATGAGCAGGGTTTCTGGGGGGTTTTGTTGTTGTTTTTTGTTTTGTTTTGTTTTGTTTTTTGCAGTCCAAAGGAAGGTGTGAAGGAGAAAAATTTAAAGTCTAGCCTTTTTCAGATTTAACAAAGACAGTTCATCACCGTTAGCAGTGAGTTACTGCGTGACATAGTGAAAGTGGAGCTAGGCAGGGCTGAGAGAAGCCAGGCATCAGATCATTGTTGTCTTTTGTTGTTATTGTTTCATTTCTTAAAAAGAGAGAGGGAGAGATCTAAAACCTTACAGGCATTCTTATTCAGAGATTGTTTTAAAATATCTGCAAAGGTATTGTTTCCAAGAGCTGCTCTTTTATCCCATCACAACAGAAAAAACACAGAGCTAACCACAGTTTCTGTTCTTATTCTGGGCAATTCTATCTTGAAATTTTCAGGGTTCTTGTACTTTTTAAAAATTTTTACTTGAATGAAAATCATATTATCTTCTTTTTCATTATAAAATGTGAGCAGTTTTCAATCATTCTTTAATAGAGAACATGAAAATCACCTAACTTCATGTAGTCTAGTAAACAGGTTAATAGCTGCAAAGGTTTTCAAAGAACTGTGATGTAACACCTTTTATTTCCTTTATGTCATCCTTTAACAGTTAGACCTGATAATTATACACCAGCAGGTGGAACTTCTTGGAAGTAAGTATATTATATTTTGTAATTATTAAAACTGTCAGAAACATTTTAAGTTGCAGAAGTTTCTCTACATCTAAATATTTTATAAACAATAAAGTTAAATGTTTAGGCTAGAATTGGATCAAAAAGAGGTCTCTTTTTTAAAATAAATATTGAAATATATATTAGTCTGATATAGATAAATCTAAAAGCATTAACCTTTCTAAGTCTTTGATAATATTGTCACTAGGAATCTAACATTATTTTTTAGTTTTAAGGTAATAAAAGATATTTGATCATTTCCATGGCTGCTAATAATTTAAATTTTCTTAATAATTTCAGACATAGAAGTCAAGGTTGAGACTAGCAAAAACTCATCAAAACAATTTACTGTTTTATCATATTGTCAGTGACTCATTAAATAGGCAAATCATTTAACAATACACACATTTACAGTGATGACTAACTGAATTCAAATTATTTAAGTTTTTTATCCTTAATATTCTATGTTATTCCTAAGATATATCAAAATTGTAATAAATAGATAGCATGCATCTGTAAATATAGTACCAAATAGAGATTTTAGACAAAATCATTACTCTATGAGTTGTCCCAGTAAATTCCATAGATATGGCTATATTGATAGATTTAATATAATCAATAATATACTAAAGCTATAATGTTAATTAAATATATAAGTGATATACATGATAGAACTATTATTTGAGTGTTAGATTCCAATTTATAGCATTGCTTCCCTAATTAAAAAGTGTCACCACATGTTTCCAAGTAGGTCATACATCTGGAATCAAAATTTATTAATTGCATAGCTTTGTTCTCAGAGTTTACCTTGATTTCTATGGCTAAATTCTCAAAATTTTGAGCATGGAAGTAGATTGATGTGAAGAAGATACCAAATACTTAGTAACTGATAAGTCACTCTGTTTTCTTTTAATAACACTGCCCATTTTACTCATATAAAGATTTGATACTAAGCAGAAGTATTATTTTGATAATTGGTGATTTTAATTTTTTTTTTTCTTGTTTTCCTTCATTAGTGATACTTGGCACTGAGACCTGCAACAAATACGAGATTAAAAACAGCTTGGGACAAAGAATTTACTTTGCGGTGGAGGAAAGCATCTGCTTCAACCGTACTTTCTGCTCCACGCTGCGCTCTTGCACACTGAAGATCACCGACAACTCAGGCCGGGAGGTCATCACAGTCAGCAGGCCCTTGAGGTGTGACAGCTGCTGGTGCCCTTGCTACCTACAAGAGGTTAGTCATCGGCTCTGGGCGTGCTTTTATTTCTACACGTTTGGAAAGTTTAGCAATTCTTTAATAAATGGCATTCATCTGGAGATATGGAGCAATTAACCTTTCAACTGGTTGAATTAATACATTGCTCCTTTAGGATCAGAACAGTTTAAGGAGTTGGTGATTCACTAAAATTTTTTCCTTTCCAACCAAAGACTAGAGTGGCTTCCATGATGTTAATTGGTGAAGACAGCTCATGCCCTGTGTAAACAAGACACATCCTCCTGAATTTCTATTCTAGCCATATAATTGTATCTCTGAGTTCTACCATTAAGCAAACCTACCCTTTGTCTTCTCTTACTGGGGCAAAGTTCAGGAAGTGCTGAGTGATACTAAACTCTTCTAAGATATTCTCTGGATTGGATATCATTTTTGATAACAGAATCTCACATTCCCTTCACCATTTACGATAAACTTCAAGGTTTAGCAAAGACTGTGTTATTGTTCTGGAGAGAATCATTTGATTATTTTATTTTAATATATAATGGATTTTCATCACTGTTTAATATGATAACTTTCATTGACAAAATGCAGTTAAGTTGATATGGGGTGTTTACTTTGATGTCACTGATATCATGGCACCTCTATGAGTTAAAACAAGTTTTACTATTCACATTTTTCAGCTGAGGAAACGGGCTTAGAGAGTGGTGGTGACTTACCTATGATCACACATCTAGAAATTATCATACGTATGACTTGATCCAGGCGTCCTTATTCAAGCCCAAGTTTCTCTGTTGAGGACTTACATATAAATATTCTACTTAGCACAATGGGAAATAAATATTAATATGGAAGGAGGTTAATTAGGGAAGGTTGCTAACAGTATATACTGAAGCTAGTTTTTCAACTATTTATAGGCAATTCCCTGGCTAAGTGACAGGATGGCTAAGGTACTCACACATGGAGCCCAAGAATTTTCTTCCTCCTCCTGAGGATACCCAAGATCTAATATGCCTCAAGAGACTATAATCAGTATAGTCCAGAATATATGCCCATTTGAAAATTTCTGATAATTGATGTTTTATTTCAAGGTAGCCCAGTGTCATATAAATTAAATATAAGAGCTATCCTAACACTGACTAGCATTTTTTAATTTGGTCAAAATCAAACCAATTACCTTAAAAGTGATCCCAGAACAAATCCATATAATTCTAAGCAGTCTGGGTAAAACCACCTTTGTCTATCCAAGGATACTACGGACATGCACATAAGACTATGAACTTTAATAAATAAGAAAAGACTAAAGGAGATCAGATGATGGAGAACTGGTTTGATTTAAAAGCAAACATTTTTTATTATTTTCACTCACCTCTAGGTTATTTTGTAAAGTATTTGATTTGGCTACACAAATATTTTGACATACAATATGATGGACAATAAAGGAATTGGGGATGCTTAACATCCTGAATTATCTGAGAAGTGCAAATCAAAACTATAATGAGATAACACCTCACGCTGGTCAGAATGGCCATCATTAAAAAGTTCACAAACAATGAATGCTGGAGAAGGTATGGAGAAAGGGGAACCCCCCTATACTGCTGGTGGAAATGTAGTTTAGTGCAGTCACTATGGAAAACAATACGGAGATTTCTTAAAAAACTAAAAGTAGAGTTACTTTATGATACAGAAATCCCACTCCTGGGCATATATCCAGAGAAAACTCCAATTCAGAAAGATATATGCACCCCAATGTTCATAGCAGCACTATTTACAATAGCTAAGATATGGAAGCAATCTAGATGTCCATTGACAGATGATTGGATAAAGAAGTAGTGGTATATATATATATAATGAAATACTACTCAGCCAGAAAAAGAGTGAAATAATGCCATTTGCAGCAACATGGATGGACCTAGCAATTATCATACTAAGTGAAGTAAGTTAGAAGGAGAAAGACACATGTATCATATGATATTACTTACTGGGGAATCTAAAAAATGATACAAATGAACTTATTTACAAAACAGAAACAGACTCACAGAAGTAGAAAACAAAATTATGGTTACCAAAGGGTAAAGAGGTGGGGAGGGATAAATTAGGAGTTTTGGATTAGCAGATACAAACTACTATATATAAAATAGATAAACAACAAGTTCCTACTGTATAGCACAGGGAACTATGTTCAATATCCTAAAATAACCTATAATGAAAAAGTATATATGTATATCAGAACCAATATGCTGTACACCAGAAGCTAACACAACATTGTAAATCAACCGTACTTCAAATAAAGAAAAAAGAAATTAGGGGAATGAAGGGTAATGGGACAAAATACTGAACTCAGGCCTGAAAGTGCAATTGTTATTCTTTTAACACTTTGGACGAAGTGAAACAGAAATCAAATTGGTGTGTAATGACTGTAACTCTGCAAGAAGCATTTGTTTTTAATTGAACACAGAAAGGCTAGAAGTTGACAATCTGAAGAGACAAAAAATCATGAATGCTTAATAATTGGTAAGTGAGGATTAAAATTAGATAAGTGTTTCGACAACAACAGAGAGGGAGTGGATATGAAGTACCTTATAGGAAATAGCTTCAATGCTCAACCAACTATTGTACTTGGAACAAAAATGGCAAAGCTAGTGCCCCAGTGTCAGAAGACAGCTCTGGGATAAGTTCTCCTTAGGAAAGTAAGATCAAAGACGTGGACTTCTAGCACACAATACTGAACTTGTATCGATACAGTGAATTTCTTTGTTTCTAAAAATCATGAAAAAACCAGAACGTAGAAGCAGATATTTAGTCTATTTTGTAGAGTACAAAAATAATTTCATAATAGTATCCTGTTTAGAATTTGACACTATAGTAAAATTAAAATACAATAACCTTAGAAAATCTTACTTTATTATTATCTCTTCTTACAGTTAGAAATCCAAGCCCCTCCTGGTACTATAGTTGGTTATGTTGCACAGAAGTGGGACCCCTTTCTGCCTAAATTCACAATCCAAAATGCAAACAAAGAAGATATTTTGAAAATTGTTGGTCCTTGTGCGACATGTGGCTGTTTTGGCGATGTGGATTTTGAGGTATGATTGACAAAACAAAGGAAGTTTTCACTTAGGTCCTGATTTTTTGCAACATAATTCAATTTTTGTAAAGTTCAAATCATAATATATGTCTGAAATAAATTTAGAAAATAATATACTTGTGAAATAATGTAATAAGTCCATATTGTACATGGCAATAATAACTCATAATTCCAGCAATACTAAGTCCAAAAATTTTTTTAAAACATACCACAAAAATTTGATTGATGTGGCATTACAGCTCTTATGGCATAAAGCAAATACATATAGTTTAGAATCATCTAAATTACATCTTTCCTGTATCCCTGTTGGGAACATATCCCAGTTCTGATCTCATGTCAGGAGCACACTACATCAAAATATCACCAATTTAAAATCCATTTTCATAAGACTTGCTAACTTCACTTTGTGAAACAATCTATTCTCATATAAAACATATTTGTGTAAATTGGATGTTTAAAAACAAAAACTACTTCCAAATTCAATGTGTAAGAATATGAACTATCTTTAAAACCTTTTCCTAGAAATATGTCTTAGACAGAGGAGATGGTCTAATTTCAAGTATATATTTCTTCTTTATTTATTCACTCCATTCATTCATGTCTATCCTACCTAGGACCTTCAGTCTGCAGGACTTCAGGGAACACTACTCACCTAGAATACAATGTGCATTTAGCAAATGAGCTGTCCTAACTCCAGACCACTTGAAAGAGACTTGGCATGGTTCTCCTAAGAATAAAGGATACAAATATGTCCTGTGATTGAAGAGAACTTGAGTTTTAGTATGCATGGTATAGGGATGTCCTAAATAATTTCTCTATTTTCTATTTTCTACCCCCATACAGAAAGTGAAAGTTTATAATGAATCACTTTCAACCTTTTGAATGAGAAACAGGGCAAGCAAATAGAGTAGTTGATAAAGTTTAATTGTAGACTCCTTCTAGCTGAACTAGACTTTTCATGTCAGATTAGTCTGAATTCCCCATGCGATACATTAGCCCAGAGGATTTTTAAGTGAAAAATAGAACTTAGGGTTAGTTATAAAGGAATGACCTAGTAAATGTCTGAGTGTAATAGAAAAATGAGATTAAACAATGACTGGTGATATTTAAATGTGTTAATAATTATAAACTCAGCAATAAAAATTTATATCTAGAAATTAATTTCTTTTAAAAATTCTTCCTAAAATCTTTCTCAAAAATACTCTTTTTTTCTTTTCTTTCTTTCTTTCTTTTTTTTTAAATGAAGAATTCTGGTTTAAAATCTGGACTTCAGGTAAAGGAATTACCAACATGGTTAGACCATATAATTGAGACTATGCACCTGCTGCCATCTTGTGGTAGCTTCGCCTTAATTATTTATTGTTATTAAATTCTCAATCTGCATAAAAAAGAAAAAAAAAGGAATTACGATGGATTCAAAAAAATGTCAGAAAAGCAAAATTCCTAAAGAGTAAACTGGGAAGTTAAATCTTCACAACTATGCTTATATAAAGGATTGAAAAACACCGAATTATCATTTAAAGATGATGAATAAAATAATTCCTATCTCTCATGAAGTAAACATACAAATTAAGTAAAACCTTCAGTTTCACCTTCAAATTTATAACGTCTTATATTCTCTTTAAAGGTGAAAACTATTAACGAAAAGCTTACAATTGGAAAGATTTCAAAGTACTGGTCGGGCTTTGTAAATGACGTTTTCACCAATGCTGACAACTTCGGAATTCACGTTCCTGCAGATCTAGATGTCACAGTCAAAGCATCGATGATTGGTGCCTGTTTTCTCTTTGTAAGTATGGTCTTAAGGAATATAAGTGGTTTATTTCCTTCCTTTTCAGTTGTTAATTAGCCAATCCCATTTTACACATCGTTTACCCTAAGAGTGAGTTTTATGCACAGAACGCTAGTTTGGGACTACCAATCTTCAGGAGCCTGCATTTCTTTCGGCAGCCCTCCTCCAGTGGTTCCCCACCCACTCCTTCTCAAGGATTGATGCCCATCCACATCCTAACTCACCATTTCTCAAAACCTGAATTACTCTTCTCTTTCAACTTTTAGACTTTTGGCTTATTTTCACTTCCACTGAAAAAATATGTAAACATCAAAGCCACATTATTTATCCTGGGTCAAGTTTAGGACTGTTTCATTGCTTACCAACGCATTAGGTGATATTCAGAATGAGAAAAGAGCAGTTTTCTTGTCTTTTCAATATATACATAGATACTTGAGTCCACAGGGATGAGTTAATACGTATTAGTTTCCGTTATTAAAAGATATGTGAACAAAAAATACTGCAAACCATAATCAGTAAACGAAGAATGCTGCAGCCATCAAGTCATCAGCGGCTGCCGCCACACCCTCCAGTGAAGACAAGCCTGCAGCCCAGCCTCTGCAGCCACTCACAATGGTGCACCCTGAGGGGACTCAGAATAAGAAAGGCCAGGATACTGGCCCTAGATAGCTAGGGGCTTGTCAAAGGAATGAATTCAATGAGCCCAAATGTTTGCTTCCTCCCATACATACAAAAGCCCTAAATTCTTTAACTTGAGATGTCTGGTTTTCTTTAGATAACAAGTAATCTTTTAATGCTCCAACTACCTGGTCTATGTTGTAAAATTCCTGTGTATCCTAGCTCCTCCCCTACCTCTTTGGAGCAGTTTCTCGGAACAATCATCCCAGCTTAAGTCCTCCCGCCAGATGAAACAGAACTCTCAACTTCCAGGCTGTGCATTTATTTCAGTCGACAGATATCATGTCTTTGTCCTTTCTCTCCAACTTACGGTTTCACTAAAAACATTTTGTCTAGATTGGTTGTAGAAGTCAAGTCATACCTGTGCCAAATCTTGGCCTGCTTTTCTCTGTTTCTGACTTTCCCTCTAATATCTCCCTCATTGCTTACCGTTTTCAGTGCTCTCACCAAAATTCACGGAATTTTAAAATAAACCTACATTCCTCCTCTCATATTTTGTTATTCTTCAGGGTTTTAGGATCCTAAATCTTATGGTTAGATTCATAAGTGCTGCTGTGGGGGAAAAAAAGTGGCCGTATTCACTATTCTCTTCTAAAGATCCTTGGGAACTATATTAACTAAAAATAATCCCCTAGTGATCCCACTGATGAATACTTAGAGTTTAATTAACAATATATTTTGGTACTTTTTTCTCCAGAAGCTTTAGAGAAGTTATTTTAACTTACTGGTTCCCTCTCACTGGTAGAGGTAGAATTAATTTATGTAGAGTGCTAGGTCTTTGTCCTCTCTAAGCAGTCACCCTCCATTCCCATTTTCATCTACAAATTCAACCTGTCCAGGCAATCTTGCCAGCCACCTAATACTTCTTCAATTCCCCATTCTCCTTATGTGTCTGGTGGGGCTTTTCACCTGCCACTTCCTGCTCACCTTTCCTATTTTTGGACCATTCTGCATTTCAGCATCAAACATGTCGGCTCTCTCAAATGCAAGCATGCACACGCACACAAACATGCCCTTTTCTCAAAACCTTAACTTGGCCTTTCTGGTTAAGCCCCTTACTTAATTTTATATTTTAAAAAATGATCTTTAACCTGCCCTACTGACCTATTGTATGTAATATGCTGATGGCAAAACTGTCAACAATTTCCTATGACTATCAATTGAAGAAGCCCTGATGTAGATAACATCCCAATCATCCAAAAGGATAACTTTTTAATCCCAGTGTCTGAGGGAGAAACACACTCACTGAGACTATCAGATGGCTCCTATCCTTTTTTTCCCTCCCTGTTTACCATATTATTATAAAATATTTGCACTTTTCTTTGCCAATATAGCTTTTAGGACAATTTCTCACCAAGAATCATGTTTTCATTTTTAAATGCTGTCTCCATTTTATTACCGTGTGGTGAGAGATCTTCAGAAAGCCACTGGCATGAGGATATTCCCTGAACTTAATCACAAAATTCACAAGTATAACAAAATTTTTGGTCTCTTCTTGTCTGAGTTCACCATTGAACAATGCACAGCTCTGACCCCTCCCCCACAAGTTCCCTCTGGTAGAGTTTTCAGTACCTCCTCAGATGACTGCCTGGTTACTGACCACAAAGTCCGAAATGATATGTCTAACTCTTGCTCAAAGGTCAGTGTCTATTACAACTTCCCATGCTGACCCAGACTACTCCGTAATTGAATTCTAAAACGTCTTGATCACCCCATATTTTGACTGATGATACCATGCTGATTCAGATGAGGCTTCCGAGTTACTTGTACTCTGAAAATTAGACATGTGTCACGAAGCTCAAACTTTATGATTTTTCTCCTACTGATAAATCACATGTTCCTGGAGCACCACTGGGAAACATAATTGCCTTATGCAATTGAAGCTTACATGTGAGACTCTTGATCTTAATTGTTGCCTCTTTGTAAATTCACTCATATCCCACTTATTTATTTGTAGGATTTTATGTTCTTTGAACATTCACTGGCTGGATTATAACAAGCAAGATGACAAAAACAATAAAATATGCAGAACATATTTCAGTAAGTAAAAGGCAAGTTTAAATGATCTCTTTCCCTTTGAAGATGTCCATATTTGACGCTGTCTAATTCTTTTTCATTTTCTTCTAGAAATCCCTTGGGCTCTGGATTTCATTTCTGAATGGTCTGAGTATTAGATTTTTTTTCTTTTGGTAACAAAATGTTAATTATTATATTTATTAAAGCATAATGTAATGAAGCAATTATCTGGTTGTGAATGCATGATAGTTAAAGACGTGATGACTGGCCCCAGCACAGTGTTGCTTTGAGAGATTAGCATTCTTTCTTTTTATCCTTTGAAGTTATTGCATGGTAAGCATGAAAGATGAGAGCTAAGGCTTGCAGCATCACTGATGAAAATTCAATGTTTAGAAAGCACTTTGAAGTTTTTCTGGTACTAGGGCTGCTTGCTAATCAAAAGGACTGGACTTCTAAAGTATTTTTTTTCATAGTCTTTTTTACTGTTTATTAATCTTCTTATTACAGTGAGACGTTTTTACGTTATACTGGAAAAGTTAAAAGTTGGGTAAATAATATGTTTAAAGATGAGACGCAAGATAGACGAAATCAATTTGTTCTAGTGGCAAAAGGCATGCTTACCTTCTATAAGGAAGCTAATATTTACAAATCAAAGCATGCTTTAAATGCATTCCTGTGCTAGAGATTTAAATAAGCATATTAATAGACTTCTAAGTTGGTAAAAGCAGTGGATAGAGTAGAAACTTTATCTATTTGCAGAAAAAGTTCATTCCAAAAATGATCTAAGGCTCTGAAAAAATGGACAATTCCCAGGACTTAAAAACAAGCAAACAAAAACAAACAAACCTTAACACATGAGGCAAATGCAGAAGTCAGGAAACTGCCAATTCCCTTAGTTAATGCCTTCCATCCTAATGTTTTCAGAGTCGTCCAGATTATTACATCTAGTTATCCGCACATTCCCAAAGTCCATAAAAGAGGAAAATTTCTTTTTGTGAATAACAATAATCCCTCTCCTCTTTTCAAAATGAGGAAACAAATTTGTTTTAAGCAAAGCACCATGTAGGCTCTACTTTAGAATTACACAAATACTACCCAAATCTCCATCCACAAATAAGGTGTTTAAAGAATCTCCAGATAATCGCCCACTTAGTAAAGGGAATGTGATCCAAGCTTCTGTTACTCAGTTCTTTGGAATTAGGAATGTATCATCTGGAAATAACCTTGTATGTGGTAGTTAAGGTCCTCAAATAGCCCACATCAGTTTGGTTCTGGGTTCTGGGTTAAGGGTTTTGACTGGGTAAGATGAAGGGAAAAGAGTCTTTCCTCTATTTTCTGGTTCAGTTTCCTTTAGCATTCTTCATCCTTACTTGACACCTTTCTGAATGCCTTTCTGGAAGGGAACAGAAGTCCTATGTGCTGTGATAGACGTCACCCTGAGTCCGGCTCTGCTGTGTGCTAGCCGTGCATCCGTAAACCGAGCATGGAGTCTTTCTGAACCTCCTCAGGCTTCCAGTATGTTACCTTGCAGAGCTTTGTGATGCATCAGGGGAGTGAAGCTTTTCCTCTGTTTTCTTTTTATCTTACTTTATCTTACTAATGTGTGTGTGATTTATGGTCATTTACAACCAGCTAAAGGAAATGGCAGTTTTTAAGCTGATGCTTATTAACCAATAAAATAGGGAGAATAGCTAACATTTTCTGCAGGCTTATTACAAGCTAGACATTAGGCTTGCTATGAATTCTTGGTGGGAGAGCAAAATGAAATGAAAATAAAGAAGCATCAGGCAGTATGTTGAAGACTGCCTGGCAACCCATCCTTCCTCCTCCCCACCCTGCACTCCATGTCCCAAATTTTCTCCCTAAAGATGATCCTGCTTTCATAGCTTCTTCTTGTCCTTTACTTCGATTTCTAAAATGAAAGATTTTTTTGTAACTGCTGTCACAACAGCAGCAGTTGAAACTTTCACAGTGGGGTAAAGATGAGAGAAAGAATACACCATTCGTAAATACAGTCTTTTAATGACAAACTTTTGGATTTAGGGAAAAAAATTCAAATACCCTAAAACTAAAGAAAAGAGCTACTTGATACCTACATCTCATGGAGACTTCCCAAGGATGAAAATCCTTCTGAGAACATGGCACTCATTTTAAAGTTGGCTGTATTAACTAAAGACCTGCTATGGTATTTTCTCCTGCATTGGCACATATGACAAATTAGAACCCATTCTTTCTCCCCTTCTTCATGAAAGGTGAAACTTATCTTTAAATGTCTTCCATGCACCACTTTTACTACCAAACATGAGCCCATGAAAGACTAGCAAGACTCTTGCTACTCAGTGAACATTTTAATGAAAAGAATGCAGCTCTAGAATGAGATGGGTCCTCTACGCATCAATCACTGCCTTTCCTTGGCCCACTGTGTTCTCAGAACAGAGGTTCCAACTCTGTTTACTCTGAAATATACTGGCAAAGTCTTGACAAGATGCAAATGCCTCTCTTTCTTTCTTTCTTTCTTTCCTTCTTTCTTTCATTATTTTAACAAATACATATTTACTCTTAATATGCCAAAAAATACAGTTGTCCCCCACCTCTTATGGAGCTTACAGTTTAGTTAAAGAGACAGCTACTGATCCAATAATGACACAAGCAAAACTTAGATTTCACAGATGAGAAATGTTTACAGAAGGTAGACAAGGTCTTAAGTAAGGTAGGGGTATGTGGCTTGGTCAGGGAGTGAGAGAATGATGGTGGATTTAATATGTGAAGAATAATTCAGAGCAGAAGGAAGAATATTTTAGGCTGAGGTACTAACATTTACAAAAGTATCTCTGGTGGAGGAAGAGGGAGACATGACAATCTCAAGTGACTTCAAGAAGGCCAATGACTGAAGTTCAGACAATGAAGAAGAATGTGGTACAAGATGAGGATGAATGGGGTCTGTAGGCCATGGTAAAGATTTTACACTCTGTCCTATTAGCAAAGCATCTGATATAATTTTGTAAGGATAGAGTTGACTGATGAAAGATTAGATTGGTGAGAGGGCTGGAGAGGATGCTCGTGGACCAATTAGTGTTCCTAAAGTAGTTTAGGTGACAGCAAATGGTAGCTTGGATTAATGTGGCACTCATAAAAGGAGAGAAGTGGGCAGATTCAAGATACTCTTACGAGGTAAAATCACCATTACTTGATGCTGGGTTGAAAATGGAGATTCAAAGGAGAAAGGGCATTTCTGGCCTACACCATTTAGTGACAGACAGAATATGAGAAGGGGATCTGGTTTGGTGGTAAAAAAAAAAGAACATGGATTCAGTTTTAAGCACATTAAACTTGTATTGCCTTTAAGTTTTCCAAAAGGGCATATCAAATGGGCAGATGGGCATGTTTTCATCTAGTGTGCTTCTGAAGCGAGAGATGAGCTTATGAGAAATGTAATATGGATCCACAGAGATTTGAATAATCTCTGGTTTACTTCAAAGATGTCCATAACAAGTATTTTTAAACATGCATGGACAATGAATTCATTCATTAATCTAAATAATATTTTATGGAATTCCTTCTATGCACTAGGCACTCTATTAGGCAGTGGAGATGTTATGCTAAGTGACCATTATTGTAAAGATGCCTTCAACAAATATTTGTGAAGTTCATACTATGTGCTAGGTACCAATGTCAGCAATAAGTTGCAGCAGTGAACAAAGCAACAAGGTACCTGCCCTCGTAGAGCTTACATCCTAATACAGATAAATAAACCCACAGACAACAAAAATATCAGGTAAGCATAGGTGATCACAAATACTGATAAAGATTCTATCATTTACTACCTAAAACAACTGAATATATTGCTTGCTCAGGCAAGGGAGAGCTGAGCTTGTAAGACACAGTTTAAAAGAAAAGAAGAGAGTTTATTAGAGTTTTGGAAAAGTGTGGAGTTTGGAAGTTGGAGTGTGGACTTTAGCTATGGAAACATGTTTACTAGAGTAAGACTGCGGCTGACTGGCTGACTGTCAGAAATCTATCTGTTCACTGGATGGAAGCCGTTGCTGATTATCTGATTTTCAGGGGTCAATTGCATGGGATGTAGCTGATTTTCTCTCAGAAGAGTGTCCAGTTTGTAATCAATCACTGACTGACGACAGTCTGATACAGGCACACCTCATTTATTGCACTTCACTTTATCACACTTCAGAGATACTGCGCTTTTTACAAATTGAAGTTACGTGGCCACCCTGCATGGAGCCAGTCTACAACAGCATTTCCAACAGCATTTGCTCGACTCATTCTCTGTGTCATAGTTTGGTAATTCTTGTAATAGTCCAAACATTTCATTATTATGATATTTGTTGTGGTGACCTGTGATCAGTGTTGATGTCACCATTATACTTGTTTTGGGGGCACTATGAACAAGGCCCTTATAAGGAGGTGAATTTAATTGATAAATATTGTTTGTGCTCTGACTGCTCCACCAACCGGCTGTTCCCCCATCTCTCTCTCTCTCTCTCCTTGGGCCTTCTTATTCCCTGAGACACAATAGTATTGAAATTAGGCCAACTAATAATCCTGCAGTGGCCTCTAAGTGTTCAGGTGAAAGGAAGAGCTGCATGTCTCTCACTTTAAATCAAAAGCCAGAGATGAATAAGCTTAGTGAGGAAGGCATGTTGAAAGCCAAGACAGGCTGTAGGCTGCTTGCACCAGTTAGCCAAACTGTGAACGCAAAGGAAAAGTTCTTGAAGGAAATTAGAAGTGCTACTCCAGTGAACACAGGAATGATAACAAGTCAAAATAGGCTTATTGCTGATATGGAGAAAGTTGGAGTGGTCTGGATAGAAGACCAAACCAGCCACAACCTGCTCTTAAGCCAAAGCCTAATCCAGAGCAAGGCTCTAACTCTCTTTAATTCTGTAAAGGCTGAGAGAGGTAAGGAGGGTACAGAAGAAAAGTCTGAAGGCAGCGGAGTTTGGTTTATGAGGTTTAAGGAAAGAAGCCATCTCCACAACGTAGAAGTACAAGGGGAAGCAGTAAGCACTGATGTAGAAGACGCAGCAAGTTATCCAGAAGATCTAGCTCAGATCATTAATGAGGGTGGCCACACTAAACAACAGATTGTCAATGCAGATGATTAGAGAAGATGTCATCTAGGACTTTCATAGCTAGAGAGAAGGAGCCAATGCCTGCCTTCAGAACACATGATGACTTTCTTGTTAGGGGTTAATGCAGCCGGGGACTTTAAGTTGAAGCCAATGCTCAATTACCATTCTGAAAATCCTACAGCTCTTACGACTTATGCTAAATTGATTTATTCTTTCCATGCTCTATAAATAGAGGAACAAAGCTTGGATGACAGTACATCTATTTACAATATGGTTTACTGAATACTTTAAGTCCAATGTTGAGACCTACACTTTTCATTGACAATGCATCTGGTCACCCAAGAGCTCTGAAGCGATATACAATGAGATTAATGTTGTTTTCATGCCTGCTAACACAACAACCATTCTGCAGCCCATGGATCAAGGAGTAATTTCAACTTTCAAGTCTTATTCTTTAAGAAATATGCTTTGTAAGGCTATAGCTGCCACAGAAAGTGCTTCCTCTGATGGATCTGGGCAAAGTAAATTGAAAACCTTATTTCCATTTTTTTTGTTTTTGGTTCTTTCATAGTCTTTAACTGTTAAAATTAAAGGGAAAATAAATTCGTTATAATAATTTAAGTTTTCAACTTCAGCAATTTTGTCCTTTCTTCTAACATTTTGTTTTGGGATCTGTAGGTTATCTTAAAAGGAAAACACCTTTTTAATAAAAACTCTATAAATGCAAATGGATTTTGTCTATTTCTTATACTTTGACCTTTTTTTTTTTTTCCCCTAAAACAAGTGAGCATTGTACTTAGTGACATGTATGACTGTTCATCCAACTGCCCAGGTCTTACATTTAGACATCACAGATTTCAATAATTTAAATAATTTAAGGAATCTATGATTTATTTTTAAGAGAAAAAAAAGGAACTAAAATCTTGTTAAAGAAAAGGAGAAAACCATATTATGTCTTGCTGTCTGAGTCAGTATTTTATGACTTATCTGCTAAATATTATTATTAAATTAATTGAAAATGTATTTTCTGGACATTTCCCATTTCATTATAAATATCAGGTTTTTAAAGATCAGTTACAATAGAAATATAAGAGATTTCAAATACAAAAATATGGCATTTTGTCGAAAAACAATACCAAATATGATCAAACAATTTTTGATGAATATATAAAAGCTAACATTAATGAGCATGTTTTGGACATTGTGCTAGACTTCTCACATGCAATTCTCATCTATTTCAATGCAAAATGATTATTATAAGCCCAAAGGCACAGATGATGGAAACAATGCTCAGGAAAGTTAAGTAATTTGCCAAATTTTACAGAGCTGTTAGCTTTTAGTCTACCTTGACAAACGAGATGAGAATATGCTTGCACAAGAAATGTCAGAAGAAGGACTTTTAAAATACACAGAATGAGAATTCAGAAACCTAGGATAGAGGTGACTCATCCCTATAATGCTCAAATAAGTTATATTTTCATCAGCACTGAGATATCTCTATTTGGAAAGCAATACATAAACAGCAACTTGAAATCCTTTAGCCACTAATAATATACCTCTGGCATCATTCTTGTGAATACCTCTGTGGTTACTACTGCATATAACAGAATAAACAGATAATGAGTAAATCTGGGGAAAAAATTCTCTTGGAGAGTAAGTTTAGATATTTTGAAGTCACTTTTTAAACTTTGTCAAGCAATAGATTTAGAAAATGTTTCCTGGTATCAATAAATCATACAGGCTATTTTAGTATACCATTTAATTGCTTTTTAGAAATTAATTTTAACGTAATTAAAAAATAAACATAACCTCAGGATTCATTTTGGTACCTATATCATATTCACAAGTACTTTGAATGTTTTAAAATATATTACACTTTAAGTATGTTGAAAGCTAGCAGTAGAAAATACATAGAAAGGCTAATAGAGAAATTAAACAATTCCTACTTAAGTGAGTTGTTCAAAACCCAGTTATATGGATATAGGTAACACATACTTTTAATGCCTTTCATGCTGCAGGTGGCAGCAACACTTCACATTGTCAGCTCTGCTCAGCTATAGCAGCAGACAAATGGAAATACAATTTCCATTGAATACTCACTTTGTTCTCTCTGTAATCTGGAAAAGAAAATGTGCTGATTTTGTATGTAGGAGGGTGAAATTCGATGTTACTTTTTCCTATCCAACAAAAAACAGACTGTTTTTATAGATGCATCATGCACAACACAAGAGATCAGGAATTACTATTTTTGATTAACAGACTGCATACAATTTTAAACAATTTCGTGAATGTATCTGTTCCCATTTTTCCAAGGACACTGAGTAATCTCCTGTTATCAAATAGTTAGTTATAGGCAACCATAAAGATTAAGCATATAATTAAAAGTAGATTCCCAAATCTGATTTGCTATTTTTCACTTAAGAGCTAAACAGTCACTGCACAAAATCTAAAACGATTTAGAATCATGCAGGAAATGTCTTCGCTGCGGTCATTTGTGTGCTGCATCTTGATCGTCTTCACAGGAAGTGTATAGGCAGAGCCACGGCACACATACGGAGTTAAACCTCTTCCAGATTTGGTGATTCAAGGTCATCAAGCAACGGTGAGTAGCCCTGATCACAGATGGGAACATCCACCATTTCTCACAAAGACTTTTAAGATGATAAAGTGATACGAACACAAAAGTGGTAATCAATATTCTATCCAGAATGGTGGGAGGAGGAGCAGCAGTAGTAGGGAAAACACCATGTAAAATACGGCACAATCAACTTTATCCCGTAGGGGTGATTTTCAACCCAGGCTGAGTGTTCAAATCACACTTTTACAAATATCAGTGTGGGTAGATTTTTTAAAAATACCAATGCCGCAGGCCTCATTCCAGAACAATAAAGTCAAAATCCTTACAAGTGTCCCCTGGGCCAATGTATTCTGTGTTAAAAATATTTCTGGTAATACAAATGCTTAACCAGTGTTGCAAACGATTTCCTATTCAACACAAAAATAGTATAAACTTTCTTTTTAAGTCCAGATCCCAAATTTGGCATTCAAAAACTTGAGTAATTTGTCTCTAGTTTACCTACATAAACTTTCCTGTAGTTTAAGCCCTTTAGAGCACATTCCTGTCCCTCTGGGATCCTACCGTGTATCCCTAGCCTGCTGCCCTCGAATCGTGTTTCCAATGTACTGAGTGACTGCAAAATCACAGTGACAATGGTGGTATCATCTACATATCGGCAGAATTCTTTAAAGTATTTTAAAGCACCTCCGCACATATGAATGACCTGAGCAAGGCCTCACAAGAAAATAGTTTCAATTGTGCACAATTTGTGGATGACTAGGTACAACTTCCAAATATTGTGGTTAAAGACTTTTCTACTTCACATCCTGAGGTCCTTCTACCGTAACATTGAAAAACGATTAATAAATATGTAAAATGCTCAGCAATGGTGCATATAGATGAATAAATATGGTTCACACAAAAAATGGTATTCTGTTTTCTTAAAGTTAGATTGTAAGTCAGCCAGACATTAGAATATATAGATATATGGACAGAGAGGATAGAAAATATCTATATTATAGTAGGTAAAGGAAAAGCAAGGTACTTTGCAGAAGTATGCAGAATTATGATCATTTTTTTGGTAAAATCAAAGATAATTACATGTGAGTTGTAGGTAAAAAGAGAAAGAGAAGAGAGAGAAGTGCAAAAGGTTAAATTTTCTATTTGCTCTAGCAGAAGCAGATGCATGCAATTATAGAAGACATATAAAATGCTTTCAGATATATGTTTAAAAGCATGACAGGCAGAATATAGGTCTATCTTATAGACCTACGTCTATTCAAAAACTAATTGTTTTCTCAGCTCCTTTGTATCCAGGGATCCCCACATAATGCAGATCTTGTCAATGAAAGATAACTGGAAGTCTATTAGGGCTCGCAGTAAATCCTCTGTTTCTCTGTTAACAAAGACAAATGTGGTTGGCTACTTTTCTGCCCACTTTTTCCTTTTTGGAACCTGATGTGATGCCTGGAAATACAGCAGCAATTTTAATGAGTCAGCAAGCTCATACTCGAAGGATGGCAACTCAAATAATAGAAGGAATATGGGTCTTTGATGATATGATGTAGCTCATATAACTGTCCTGAACTATCTCCAAAATTAAGTGATTGAGATTATTATTGTGCTTAAGAGATCATTTATTGCTTAAGCCACTAGTATTTAAATAGACTGCAACATGAATCATAGCAGCACTATTTACAATAGCCAAGACATGGAAACACCCTAAATGTCCATCAACAGATGACTGGATAAAGAAGTTGTGGTATCTTTATTCAATGCAATACTATTCAGCCATAAAAACCAACGACGTAATGCCATTTGCAGCAACATGTATGTTCCTGGAGAATGTCATTCTAAGTGAAGTAAGCCAGAA